CTAGATAAAATATAAATATCTATAATTTTCATGTCAAGATGTAATGATTTTGCAGATCTGAGAAGAACCACTTTTTTCAGATTTATATATCCTGTTCTCAGTCATTAAGATTTGTATAATTGATCATTTTTATATGGATACTATAAGAAAAATTATACAGAGACTTGTATTTTGTCTGGCTGTGCCACTGTTTGTCCCTGTGCAAGGTGCTCACTTTCCTTTCTGTGGACTTTAATTTATCTATCTATAAAATAAGAGAATTAAACTAGATTATATCCGAAGATTCTTTTCATTGTGCTATCTTAAGATTCTAAACATTTTCAAAAGTACTATGGTCCTTAGCCATCTTCAAAAACATAAAAAGTTAATCATAAGTGTGCTTGGCCATAACTCAAAAAGTTTGGTCTAGAATATTCCCATCACCTCCAGCAAATAATTCATCTTCAATCCTATGAACACTATATATAGGAATTAGATTAAGCAGAAATTCAGGAAGTCTATCATCACATGGAAATATGAGGCCATGCCAGATACATTAAGTAGAAATTTAAACAAAGGGGAACATGTTACTTCCCAAAGTACTGCTGCTCATCAGACCCTCTGGAATCAACCTCCCTGTCAAATGAAAGACTCACAGGCAGTCCAAAGCCAAGACTGCAAGTATTCATTGGCCAGACCATGAAAACAACTTAAAAGTGTATTCTGCCGTTCTTTGCTCTAGATTACCAAAGAATGTTGCTCTGTTCTCTAAGATGACAACTGTTGATTATTTTTACAGAGCACTCAATTGACAGTTTTTAATGTCCTCTCAAGTATATTTTCTTTGTTCTCATTGATGCTGGTATAAGAATTAACCCCATGAGAAAACTGAGCGACAGAAAGTGTAGGCAACAGGTCCAGAGTCACAACATCTGTGAGTCAAAGGGTCAACATTAGTATTCAGATACACTAAGGTTCAGCTTAATCCTCCTCTCTCTTCCTCGACCCCTCTCTGATGCAACAGTTATGCAGCTCAGTAAAGGTACATAAGAACTGAGAGAAATTAGGCATAGACTACAGGAAAACATTAGAAACATCTTCAAACAGGGTTCCCGAAAGGCAAAATCACAATCAGCTGTACTACTGCAATATAATAGGGAATTAATCAAGCATTTCTATGTCAATACAATCTTTTAAATTAATAAGGTATTAAGCCTATTAAAAATACATAGAAAAGCAGAGATAGTATGTTCCATATTTTGCGGTTTACATTTTTTAAAGAAAGATTTTGAACAACTTTTCTTGTACATATTTGCTCTGTAAGAATCCAAAACAAAAGCCACAAAACCTTCTGGTCCAAAGGACAAATGAACAAAAGTAATAAGAACTATGTATTTCATCCTTTGCAAATTATATATGTGATTTCTGGCACCACTGTTGGCATCCATTCTGTTAACAGGTACTGAGTCCTGAGGATCCAAAGCAGCCCTGCTAGCATCACAGAGGTGTTACTGCGCCTCACCTGTCGGGCATAATGCTCTATTTCCTCTGCTCTGGTCTGATACCAGTCCATAACCTTCTCGACTGAGAGCTGGGTTGTCCTGAACTTCAGTAACTCAGGCTGTGCGGCATACAAGAATTCACTTTCATCTTCAAGACTTGGCTCAACAACCTTTCTGCAAAGCACAAAAAGAACAATTAATAATTGACTAGAGTGCTGGAAAAATTATAATTTTGTGAGAGAAAGATAGGAAGAGAGGTGGGGAGAGAGCAGGTTACAGAGACAGGGAGCATATATATACATGTGGGTATGTGTGTTTGTGTGTGTATTTTCTCATATGTATGTGCACCCTTACAAAATAAATGAGATGTATTTAGGACGCTTAATTTATTTTCCCACTGGTTTTCCCAATTTAGAAAATCAGAATGGATAATAATGAAAAAAAAATTGGAATAACTATGCCACAAATCAATCAAATATTAACAAAAATCAAAATCACCCTGAAAAGCTTTAACAAAATGCACATGGCTGGGTGCCTACCACAGGCCTACTAAATCAAAATCACCTGTGCTGGCCAGCCAGGCCTCGTTTAAGAAGACATCCCCAGGTGATTCCAATTTGAATTAAGAAACTCTGTTTTCGATGTTCAGAAAAACAGTAGGAAATATACCTCATTTATGTTGTTAACATGCCTCTATTAGGTGCCAGCAATACAGTATTGTGCTGACATTTGAACAGCCCAAGACTACTCTATACATTCCCCATCAGGTGTGAAAAAGAAACGTCTTAGAGGAGTGTACACAGGATAACACCATGGAGATCACAAATTATGAGGAACTTTTATAAGGATGACCATGGCCAGCTGCCTTCCATGGTTAAGGACTAAAAAATGAGTAGAAAGTAACTTAAACTCATAAATCTCAGATGGGCATATGGAAAAATGCTGTGTTCCATTAGGGACATTCATTTATCTAAAGTAAGTACACAGTATATGGCGGGGGCTGTAATTGTTATTATTATAAGACAGTGAACTTTGGAGTCAGAACTGAGTCTGAAGCACAATTCCATACTGAAAGCTATGAAATCTTCTGCAAATTACTTAACTAAAACTAGCCCAAGATTCCTTTTATTACTTAAAAAAGGGGAATAATA